ATCATTTAAATATGATTTATGAATATTGGTGGGGGGGGGGGTTGGTTTTTTTGGATCTAGTGAATCACTAGTTTTTCGATTTCCATGATAATATTATTATCAATACTTGTGTTGATTAAGTTGTCGGAAGTAATTTGTTGTGTTCATTTGTTTTACTTGCGGAGAACCGCTGGCCGATGTATTTTTTTTTTTTCATTGTTGTTTGAAATGTTTGTTGACCAGTCGGTAAAAGAAATAATGAATGTAAATTTTATGTACATTTTATGTAAAAATTAAGATTACAATCAATAATAAAAAAAAAACAACTGACATAAAATATACACTAAATTAAATTTAAGGAAAAATGTATAAAAGGAACCAGAGTATCGGAATAGTACTATTTGTGTTTTAAACATACATCAGTGAATCCATAATATCATCATAAATTACACACTGTATAGCTATATAAGTTCATCAGCAACCAAAAACATGAACTTTCCATTTCAACAGGTAAGTTTCACTACCAAAATTAAAAACATTTTGTTGATTTTGTACTTTATGTAGTTATTCTTTACAAGACACTTAAGTTGGCATTAAATATCTTCTGTAAAAACCATTTTTTTTTTTAAAGAGTTTCATTGCCTCAAATATTATATTTTTTATATTATTCAAGGATTAAAGTTTAAACTTAAGACGTATAGAATAATTATTATTACCTTAAGCAGTACTCAACGAAACGTCAAATTTTTAAAATTATAGCAATCATTTCACGCCTTAGGTCACTTTCTTAAATACACAATGTTAAAATATATATTTTTGGTATTTTATTTAAATTTTATTGTGCCAATAAACATTGTAAGTTAGTTCAAAATGTTAGACAAAGGATTTTTGAGACACTATAAGTTTTTTTGACTTTTAGATGATGGGTGTTATTTTATAACGCTTAACTATTAAATCTTACCAGTAGTTTTAACTTATTGTAACTTTTAAAATTTAAACCGGAACCTCTATATTTTTTGGGATATTATTTAAGTAAATAATATTTTAAACCCAAAAATGTTAAACGACTTTTTAATAACATACTGTTCAAAAGTTTTTGTTATTTAAAGTTTTTGTTAGTGCTCTATACAGAAGCATTTTTAGGAATATTCAAATCAGATAATAACTATAATCAGATAATCAGATTATAATTTAAAATGTAATATGTTTTGAAAACATGCACTATTTTGTGATTTTTAAAATAAGAATTCAAATGGAATACTAACTTTAATTTAGTGTACAAACACACAATAGCAAATATAAAAGAATGACATAAAAAATTTATCACAATTGTGTATGTTTAGCTAAATATTATTAAACTATATTTTTTAGTACAATAATATGCCTTTTAAAATGTAATCAGTCGATAAAATAGTTTATCACATATGAACACTATTGTATAATAGTAATAATATTTTGTAACATTAAGATTAATATTTTGTATCAGGTAACCCTGAATCAGCAAGCTCGACCGTGTCAAAATATATTCATAGCTATAAATGCTAAGTGTCTGTTTAGGCGAAGAAAGTCTTATTACCTTTAATCATTTCTACCGTCTTCTTCTTTACTGCAATGTATTAAAATAGTTAATATTTATAATATATTTAAATTGATTGAAGCCATAAAAAAAAGTATAAGTTAAAATATTCCAATTCATACTTCGCTTAATTTACAGGTATATTCTGTGAGCTATTTTTAATACATTTTACAAAACATATACAAACTAAAGTAACACGCAACGAAACTCGGTAAATGTCGAAAAGTCGGTGATCTGTAGATATGAATCGCTGGTCAACCAGACTATCACAAAACATTTGACTGTGTTTGGTTACCTTTATACTCACCTATCGGACAATGCGATCATAAATAAGTATTTTATTGGCTCCCGGTCTTCGGAAACCAAAGAAATGTAATAATATTTAAGAGAAAATTTAATATCTTTACAAAGTCATAGCTAACGACTAGATGGATAAAAATAAAAAATTCAAACGATAAAATAATTTAAAAATTTTTGCCCACAAATTTATGGAATTATAAACATATGTTGCCATTTGAAAACGTGAACTAAACCCTTTTTATCGTATAAGGGATGGAGATAAACATTTTCAAAGTATTGAAAAACATAGTAAAACGTTTTCATATTTCCGAGAAAATGATGTCTTACGTTAGTTGGATGACCCGGTACAAATGATATCGATATGTAAGTTTATTAAGATATTAAAAGGAACCAATTTATGAGAAATTTACTATTTGTGTTTCAAACAGTGAAACAATAATACCATTATATGAATAATACATTTGGCTAATTTTATTACTCTCCTTGTATTCTAAAATAATGCTTATCTTTCGAAGAATGTTTCAAAGTCGTTATGTGCAATAAATCGTACATAAATGGGGGAGAAAAAACCGTTTTTGACAGGCAATAATTAAAAATGGAAATATGATTGAAGCGTAATTTAATAAGGAACGCTAATTTAAATTCAAATAAAAACATATAAATGGTTCAATCAATATATAATTATAATGTTTATGCAAAAAAGTCAATTTTGAAAAAATTGTCGCTTACGCCCTTTTACCTTCTAACCATCGAAATGTTAAACGAATTTATGATACTGTACATACTTTAAAAATTTTTTTGCTTTTTAAAGTTTATGTTCGTGCTGTATATTGTGAAGCATTTTTTAGAATATTTAAGTCAGTTAATCAGATTATAATTTAAAATGTATTATATTTTATACACATTCACTATTCTGTAGTTTTCAAAAATTAAGAATTCTAATGGAAAAACTATCTTTAATTTAAAAGTACAAACACACAATAACAAATTTAATAGTCTTACCTTTAAGTTATTTAAAAACAAATAAATATATTTAGGGTTTAAACTGTATATAAAATGTGTTGAAAATCAGTCCAAAATAAAAATGATATAACAAATATAATACCGAGAGAAAATCTGTAAAATGATATCAGTAACCTTAATGATCTTTCCAACACAAATTAATAGCCATACATGAATAATATATTTGGCTCATTACTTTTGTGTTTTAAACTTCCATTAGTGAAATCAAAATATCATTACAGAGTACATAGTATTATTTTGTCGGCTTCCAAAAACATAATTCTTTTATTTTAACAAGTAAGTTTCACTACCAATTTAATGTTTGAGTGCTTATTTGTGTTTCAAACTTATAATAGTGAAACAATAATAATATCATTAAAAAGTACATAATATTATTTTATTTTATACCTATATTATTTCATCAGCAACCATAATATTCCTTTGGTCTCTATCTTGAGTACATAATGATAAAATATGTTTTATTTATGTTATATTTAGATTGATTTGAGCCATATAACATTGTAAGTTAAATATTTTCAATTCATATTTTTCTTAAATTTCAGATTTTTAATATGAGTTATTTTCAATTCATTATACTTACTATCCTGTTAGTTATATCGATAGTAATTATTCAAAGGATAAAAAACCAAAGACAAATTACTTTGGCTGCTCAAATACCTGGTCCAAAAAGTCATTTTATTGTCGGAAGCCTAACGATTTTTACTCAAGGAACAGAAAAGTTCTTAGAGAATATGAAACGACTATGTAAGATGTAAGTTATCGCGAATAAGCATGTAAAGTTTTGTGGTATAATGTTGTCTAATTACTGAAAACTTTTTTAAGTTAAAATACAACTGATACGTGTGTAATCTAATTTGTTAAATATTAGAAAGACGACATAGTGAAACCAGCTTATAATTATGCAAGATGAAAATACTTGTAGTTAACATGCATTTATTTTGTGGAATAATGTAGCCTTAAGCCAAACAAAAATCAAATTTTGACATAATTAACAATTTCAACTATTATCCATAAAATCTATTTAGTTTTCAACTATACTTTATGTATTGGAGTTTTAAAAACAACATAGTTAAAACAAACACATTAATGAATATAAACACGAAATTTTTAATTTTATATAAAAACTTTTCAACGAAATTTTATGATCGATTTGGGAATAGTTAGTTTTTTCTGTAGAGTATTTTATGTGGGACATTAACAAAAATTACATGAGAATCACATATATACTCCAGAACGTTAAGATAGAAACTATTCATATAAAAGAAAGGAATCCTTGACTGTTATTATTTTGTAAATTAATTAAATTTGTAACATAAGTACTTATGGACAAAATTTAAAACAAGCTCATTATGTTTAAGGTACGAGCATTCATTATTTAAAGTTTGTTTATTTAACAAGCTGATTGTTTGTTTATCCAACGCCGATGATATAGAAGTAGTAATGAATAGTTCAAATTGTTTTCAAAAGGATTTCCCTTATTTGTTAGTGGAAGATGTTTTCTCAGGTACGGGGGTACTTACAACTAGTAATGTACATGACCATAAAAAAAACAGGTAAATAATTGTTATATATAGTAACTATAATATTATGATTATAAATATTTTGTAAGAAACTAATAAAAAAAAACTGTTCCTATTTAAAAAAGATGAATAATTTATTAATAAAACGTACGTTATTTAGGAAAATAATATCGCAATGGTTAAAGTATTCAAATTTAAAATCAATGATAACTTCTTTCTACGATGAATCCAAAATTCTTGCACACATATTGAGTGAAAAGTGTGAAGGAAAACCAATTGAACTTGAAATAGGCCGATTTTTCGACCTAGCATCGATGGACAGTATTGGAAGAACAGCGTTGGGAGAAGAATTCGATTCACAAAATAAAGAGAACCATGATTTCCGAAATAGTTTTGAACGTCTAGCAAAAGTAAATTTTTTTTTCTTCATTTTTGTAGTAACATAAGAACATTACACGAAACTAATATCCGCTAAGAAGTTAATTGTTTTTACATTTTAATTACAGATGTTTGCATACAGACTTTCGAATCCATGGTTTTTATTTTCGACTTTATTTTCACTGTCATCGAAAAAACATGAACAACGAAATAGTCAACATTTAATGCATAAATTTGTTAATGACTTAATTCAGAAAAAACAAGTCGAACTCAATGAAAAGGCGAAAACTACAATTATTGGGAGTTATGACACAGATTGTGTTTCTCAAAAACCTAAATCTCTAATTGAAATTCTATTAGCAAGCGAACAACAAATATCACCTAAAGAAATACGGGACGAACTTATAACCATTATTAGTGGTAAGAATTATATTTAAATTCTATAGCTGTAAAAAGTTTTAACAATGTTTTCAAACTAGATTTTTTAGTTAAAAATTTCGGTATTTCAATGATGTATTATTTAATACTTATATCATTAAATACATCATGAAAAAAATTCACCTCATTCTCTTTAACTTCAAAAAATCACTGCTTTTTATCTAAGACTTTAAGCATGCTACATTTAAAAAAATATAAAATATAATTTCCAAAATTGTAATAGAAATTCTACTAAATAACGTTATTTAAATGTATTTTATGTTTAAGCGGGACATGAAACAACTGCAAAATCAAATTCATTAATTATATTTATGCTGGCTCATCATCAAGATGTTCAAAAAAATGTAATATTTCCTGAAATAAATTACAATTCCATATTTATTTAAATATAAAATTCCTTATTTTTGACCCTAGGTATATCAAGAAATAAATTCAATATTTTCGGCTGGCGACTTTAACCGATCACCTACACACGAAGATTTATAGAAAATGGAATACTTAGAACGAGTAATCAAAGAAACTATGCGGCTTAGTTCAATTGTACCCTTAATTACCAGAAAAGTAAAAAACGAAATGATAATTGGGAAATATGTTATCCCGACAGGTAGAATATTATAAGAAAAATAAGTTTTTTAAATTTCATAGCTAAATGGTGATTAAGTCATAGTAATCGAATATTATTATTTTATAGACGCAAATATTCTGATTTGTATTCAATGTTTGCATTTAAATCCCAAGTACTATAGGGATCCAGAACAATTTAATCCTGACAACTTCTTACCTGACGTGTGTCGCCGTCGTCATCCTTTTGCGTACATTCCTTTTAGTGGTGGCTCAAGGAACTGTGTTGGAATGAAATACGCAATGCTTCAAATGAAGACTACGATATCTACTCTTGTAAGGTCCTATCGGTTTTCGCCATCGGAAAAATGCCTTACGCCGAAGGATCTAAGATTATCTATCACTCTATCAGTGGAATTTAGCAATGGATGTAACGTTAAAATAGAACCGAGAACATAATAGCTTGGAATTTAAAATGTTTATGTGCGTTTTGTTCAAGTAATTAATTAAAAAATAAATTGTTATGTACTGGAAAATGTTTTGGTGTAAAAAAAAACACTGGGTTATTATTAACACTGGGTATTATTTAACTCCCTTTCATATAATATTATAATGGTATTTATTATTATAAATAGCAAATAAATATGTATCTTAATACTTTTCGTGTTCATTATTTATAGTAGTTAAGCATAGCTCTAGAGTTTATCTGTGGATGTTACGTTAAAATAGAATAAAGATCGTATTGATTAATTAAAAATATTTAGATATGTTTTAATTAAGGTAGAATTTACTTTGATTGTTTACTGTTTTAAAACAAAATTGAAATACACTTTGTTCTTTTAATAACATAATAATACACAAAAAACAAAACTCTTTGTGGATCATAAAACATGTATTACTAATTAGGTAGTGTTTTGTTTTTCAGTATATTTTTATTAGCTTTGAATATTGTATGATAGGGTGTACCGGGTGATTGGTTAACTATGGACCACTCAATATCTTAGAAGATATTAGACTTTTTTAATTTTTTTTTTTTTTTATACTATTATAGTTAATAGGTGGGACAAATTTAATGTATTTTTCAAAATTTTAACACCATCCCTTATGCGTTAAAACCATATCAACTTTAGATTTTTAAATGGTAACCCCCAACTTTTTTTTGATGATCGTGTTTATTTTTTTTTAATTTAGTTTTAGGAGTAAAAACTATCTAAATCAGACAAGTACTTTCAAAGTTATAGCTTATTACTACAATTTTATAATATTAGCTTATATGAGATGCTTTTATAAGTTTTACAACTAAAGAAAAAAATCGTTTATCGCCGGATCTCACGTTTCACAAAATAAGATTGATTAACGATACGGTTGTAGATTAAAGTTAATAGTTGACGGTCGTCGGTCACAATGAAAACGAACTAATAATAAATCTATAATAATACTATATGGGTAATGTCTTCTTATCTGTTTTTTCTGTAGTGTTCCTAGCGGTGCGGTGTAATATGTAATAACATATTTTAGAAATATTAACATTCTCAGCAGCATTTTAGATTAAATTAATATTAAATAAAGAATTCATCATTAAAAATTAATAAATAATGTTTAATAATTATAGATATGTTAAGTATATGTGTGTTTAAATACTTAGAGTTTAAAAACTTTATGTCACTTTCAAAATGATAAAGTACTTTTAAATTGTTTTATTGAATTACATTTTTAGCTGAATAACTAAATATATATAGTTGTCTGATATTTGATTTGAACTTGTGAATCCATCTTATTCTTCTTACTGACTTAATGGAAAACCGTTATCTGCAATAGTGTGCCATAGTAACTAAAATAATAATAATAATAATAAATTGTTAGTGATGAATTCATAGAAATTTACTAAATTATTGCAAACTGATGATCTTATATATTTTACCTTAAAATAAAACACCTATAAATTTACTGAAAATTGAATACCACAACATTCGACAATGTATTGATGGAATTGGTTTAGACTGATTGACTACAAAAATATAATACACCAAGTTTGACGTTGGTAGTAGTGTAGTTGTAGACAATAACAAATATCAATTTAAGTTGAGATAGTCCATATTAATATTGAACATACTAAAACATATAATTAAAAAAATTAAATAAGTTTCTTAGATACTTAAATAATTATAAGGTTAAGCAACAAATATCAGTATACACATATATTTTTTATAATTATACAAGTATGATAATTTTTAAGTTAAACGTTAATTTTTAAGTAACGCATTTTAATAAAACATATTAAGTATGATAAACATAAGTAATCCAAAAAAACTTATTACGTAAAAACATTTTATATGTTCATGAATAATAAAAAGCGATTAATTATATTTTTCTAATAAAAAAATGTACTTATACAATACACCTATATCAATAAATACATTATCTTACCTATTATTGATTCAGTAAACGATGATTGAAGATTCAATTTTTTCATAAAAAATTTTATATTTTTTCTTTGAATTCAGATACCAATATATTAGAACACAAAACTACACATTTATAAGTTTCTCAGAACAGACATAATACTGTAAAAATAAAAGTTTTAATTAAAATATCATCAAGCATAATACAAATTACTCTATTTATTTTAAATAACATATTATTATTATAAGTACGAAATCCATATTTTCGGTTGCTGATGAAATTATATAATTATAAAGTTTGTAAGTTTTAAACACTTATAGTACATTTTTGAAATTTTGGTTCTTTATAAAAGGTTTTTTTGGAATTTAATATTTTTCCCGAGCATGTGCATCCATAGAAATTGTGGGGGGGGGGGACTAATCTTGAAAGACATTACTTTTCCACCCACCAAAAAAAAAAAATTTAGCATTCTTTAATACATAACTCTTCAAATAATGTTATATATACACACTTGATGATCAAAATATATTATATTTATGTTCATTAGATATTATTCACATTCAATTTAATATTAATTTGTTCACTATAGATTTTTATTTGGCAAAATTGTTTTCCGCTTTTTTTATGATTTTATTAATAATATTTTAATCTTATCATTCTTATACAACATTTACCTATATTATTTTTTTCCCTTAACTCATTTGAATTTAATTTACAAAATTTACTAAAAATTAAATTAAATTTAGTATGTATATTTTGTCAATTTAATTTTTTATTTCCACTGTTTCTCCTCGATTCAGACATTTTAACGACATATTATTTTTAATATAAATGTAAATATTTTATCCTAAATTTAATGTAATATCTTCGTTAAATGTTGATAACTTGAATCAATTAATTTAGCTAATCTTGGAAGCCATTGTTTGAAAATGTGTTATTCAAAATTACCCAGTAGGTCATTTTTACATAATATTTATACCATAATTTTTAAATTAATTAGTATTTAAAAATCGTTTCATAATAATTCACATTATATTAGATTAATATTAAAACGTAAATAACAGAGTTAAAAAACCGTGGGAATTGGTTCGTAAAAGTTACACTTACATTGCTGGAACTTAGCCTGCGCACAAACGTGTGGTCTGTTATAATTATTTAAATAAAACTAATTTATAAATGCGATTGTTATCAAATCCATTTTAATTTGACCTTAGCTAAAAACAAACATTATGTTTAGATAGATAATGTTAGTTTTCAACCTTCATTACTTTATTTAAATATGCATTTATAATTTGTACATATTAAGTATATTTACTGTTAATATTATTCCAACTCATTTAAAATCATTTTCAATAATATTATAATACTTAATTATTCTTATTCTTAAGATGAGGCTTCATTAACCATCTAAATGCATATATTTTATTTTGTATAGGTATATAAAAGGTTTTAGTATTTAAATTTACTGTTTTTTTGTACTCGGATAAAAATAATTCCACCCTTCCACCAGACATAAATTTTAATTTTAAATAACTTTTAAAGTAATTATCCAAAACTTATTTTCAACCACTAAACTTCCAAACTGTCGCGATTTAAGAATCTTGTTGGCGGTTGAGTAAATTCCTACAATTCCTTAAATAGTAAATTCCTGGTATTCTTGTTCCTTCTATACGTTTTTCTTAGAATTTAATTTTCTATATATATTTTATCAATAAATTTTTATTTCCATTGTTTTTCTTCGATTCAGTCAGTAATTGAATGTACATATTTAATATGTACATTACACATTACATACAGACATGCTGTCAGTACGCGGTTTGAAAACACAACAATGAGCTAACTTTAATAACATTAAAATTGCCTTAATACTGATGAATTTATCAAATAAATTGGCACGTGTAAAGACATCTCAACTATACAAATTCTTTTGATAGAGGTAATTTACCCGAATCGAGTTTCCGAAAAAGTCACAAACCAACTATTGTAAATACTAATGTGAATTAAATTAAGATAAAAATTAATGAAGGGAAAGTTTCAACATTATTACGACACGACTTGATTCACGGTCTTATTATTATTATTATTTTCGAATTTAATTGGATATAATTCGTTTCTAACTTCTTAGTTTTTTCCTTTTGTTTTTTCACTTTAGTATCTAATCGGTTCAACTCGAGTACGACAGTGATTGTAAGGTCTAACAGTGCCTTTTTCTGACATGTCGTCCGAGTTCAATACGAGCTGATCGAAATTAGCATCTGTCAGCTCAACGACATCATCGCCAGAAGAAGATTTCTTTGGCGATTATTATTTAACTTGTTTACTAGTAAGTATTTAAATATTGTAATACTCTCCGGAGGGAAACAATGCGCGAGAAAAAATAAATTATAACATCAGACATTCATAATGTTTTAGCTTTGATTAGCTTCGGGACGACGGCCCAGCCCCGTAAAAAGCACATTTTAATTTATAAAATTCCACTTCTTATTTCTACATCAGTTAATTTTAACTATGAATGTATTCAA